GGCCTCTTGGGGCCTATTGGGTTTCGTTGGGGGGCCTCCAGGGGGGCCTCTTAGGGCATCCTGGGGGCCGCTTGAGCGAAAAGCTCCGAAATGTTCATTCGGGTTCCCCCTTCTGGGGACCTCCTTCTGGGGCCAACTGGGGCCCCTCTTGGGCCGTCCCAGGGGCCTCTTGGGCGGTCTGGGGGCCTCTTGGGCCGTCTTGGGGCAGTCTTGGTGGCATGTTGGGCCTCTTGGGCGATCTTGGGGGCCTCTTGGGCCGTCGTGGAGCGTGGGTAAGCCGAAATGGCGTGAACGTGAAAATCTTTCAAAAACCATTTGAAAATCAAGGATTTTTGCTTCTTGGGGCTGTCTTGGGGGTGCTCTTGGAGCCCTCTTGGGCCGTCTTGGAGGCGTCTTGGGCCGTCTGGAGGCCATCTTGGGCGTCTTGGAGCGATCTGGAACCGTCTGGAGGCTCTCTTGGATTGCTCGGGACTCTCTTGGACCGGCTTGGGGCGCCCTTAGATCGCCCCCGGGCCGTTTGAGACCTTGAGGGGGGGGGGGGGGACCGGCGGCAGAGTGGGGCCCCCTCGGAGGGACTTTCAGGAGGTTTTTGACCAGGCACTGGAGAAGGGGGCCAAAGACTGTGCCAGACACTGTGTCAGAGAGGTCTCGCACGGCCCAACCCGCAGGGCGGGAGCGGCCGGATCGAGGACGCCGGTGGCGCATCACCGGCCGCTTCCTGGGAGTTTGTCGAAGTGGTGCGCAGCATCGAACGTCGTGACGCTCCAGGGGCCTCTTGGGGGCGTCCCAGGGGCTTCTTGGAGACCTCTTGGGGCCCTCTTGGGGCCTCTTGGGGCTCCTTTGGGTTTGTTGGGGGCCTCCAGGGGGCCTCTTAGGGCCTCCTGGGGGCCTCTTGAGCCGAAAGCTCGAAATGTTCATTCGGGTTCCCCTTCTGGGCCTCCTCTTGGGGCCATCCTGGGGCCCCTCTTGGGCCGTCCCAGGGGCCTCTTGGGCGGTCTTGGGGCCCTCTTGGGCCGTCTTGGGGCCGTCTTAGGGGCCTGTTGGGCCGTCCTGGGGCGATCTTGGGGCCTCTTGGGCCGTCGTGGAGCGTGGGTAAGCCGAAATGGCGTGAACGTGAAAATCCTTCAAAAACCATTGAAAATCAATGATTTTTGCTTCTCGGGGCTGTCTTGGGGGTGCTCTTGGAGCCGTCTTGGATGCGTCTTGGGCCGTCTGGAGGCCATCTGGGGCGTCTTGGAGCGATCTGGAACCGTGTGGAGGCTCTCTTGGATTGCTCGGGACTCTCTTGGACCGGCTTGGGGCGCCCTTGGGTCGTCCCCGGGCCGTTTGAGACCTTGAGGGGGGGGGGGGGGCCGGCGGAGAGGTGGGGGCCCACTCGGAGGGACTTTCAGGAGGTTATTGACCAGGCACTGGAGAGGGGGGCCAATGACTGTGCCAGACACTGTGTAGGAGGTCTCGCACGGGCCCAACCGAAGGGCGGGAGCGGACCGGATCGAGGAGCCGGTGGCGCATCACCGGTCACGCTCCTGGGGTTTGTCCGATGTGGTGCGCAGCATCGAACGTCTTGACGCCGCTCCAGGGGCCTCTTGGGGGAGTCCCAGGGGCTTTCTTGGAGACCTCTTGGGGCCTCTTGGCGCCTATCTTGGGGCTCTCTTGGGTTTGTTGGGGCTCCAGGGGGACTATTAGGGCCTCCTGGGGGCCTCTTGAGCGAAAGCTCGAAATGTTCATTAGGGTTCCCCTTCTGGGCCTCTCTTGGGGCATCATGGGGACCCTCTTGGGCCGTCCGGGGGCCTCTTGGGCGGTATGGGGGCCCTCTTGGGCCGTCTTGGGGCCGTCTTGGGGGCCTGTTGGGCCGTCCTGGGGCGATCTTGGGGGCCTCTTGGGCCGTCGTGGAGCGTGGGTAAGCCGAAATGGCGTGAACGTGAAAATCCTTCAAAAGCCATTGGAAAATCAATCATTTTTGCTTCTCGGGGCTGTCTTGGGGGTGCTCTTGGAGCCCTCTTGGGCCGTCTTGAAGGCGTCTTGGGCCGTCTGGAGGCCATCTTGGGCGTCTTGGAGCGATCTGGAACCGTCTGGAGGCTCTCTTGGACTGCTCGGGACTCTCTTGGACCGGCTTGGGGCGCCCTTGGGTCGTCCCCGGGCCGTTTGAGACCTTGAGGGGGGGGGGCCGGCGGCAGAGTGGGGCCCCCTCGGAGGGACTTTCAGGAGGTTTTTGACCAGGCACTGGAGAAGGGGGCCAAAGACTGTGCCAGACACTGTGTCAGAGAGGTCTCGCACGGCCCAACCCGCAGGGCGGGAGCGGCCGGATCGAGGACGCCGGTGGCGCATCACCGGCCGCTCCCTGGGAGTTTGTCGAAGTGGTGCGCAGCATGGAACGTCGTGACGCTCCAGGGGCCTCTTGGGGGCGTCCCAGGGGCTTCTTGGAGACCTCTTGGGGCCCTCTGGGGGCCTCTTGGGGCTCTCTTGTGTCAGAGAGGTCTCGCACGGCCCAACCCGCAGGGCGGGAGCGGCCGGATCTGAAGGGCTTCACCCTCTGCCGCCGGCCCCTCATGACTAGTGCGGGCGGCTGCGCGGCGGTCTCCTTGAGGCCTCTTGGGGTCTCCTTGGGCCTCTTGGGGGCCTCTTGGGGTCTCCTTGGGGGCCTCCTTGGGGCCTCTTGGGGGTCTCCTTGGGGCCTGTTGGAAACAATATTTCGGGTGTCTTGGGGGTCTCCTTGGGGCCTCTTGGGGGCCTCTTGGGGCCTCTTGGGACCTTCTCGGGTCCTCCTGGGGCCCTCTCGGGGCGGAAAGATCGAGTTATCGGTTCGTGGACCTCCTCTTGGCACCGTCTCTTGGCCCTTTCAGGCCGTCTGGGGCGCTTCTTGGACCGTCTTGAGGCCCTCTTCGGCCGTCTTGGGGCCATCTTGGGGGCCTCTTGGGCCGTTATAGGGGCTTCTATGGCCGTCGTGGGGCGATCTTGGGAACCTTTTGGTCCGTCTCGGAGCGTCGGAAAGCCGAACAGGCGAGAAGGCCAAAAATCTTCAAAAACGCTAGGAAGATGGTCGATTTTTGCTTCGTGGGGCCCTTTTGGGAGGCCTCCCAAGATCCGTATTGGGAGCATCTTGGGCCGTCTTGGGGCCATCGTGGGACATCTTGGGGCCATCTTGGGGCGTCTTGGCCTCCTGAGGCTCTCTTCGGACCCTCTTCGGGCAATCTTGGAGGCCTCTCGGCCGTTCTGGCCACGCGGTGGCGCCACCATGAGAATCCTGGGGTGGCCCGGAGCAGCCTGTATTTGAGTTTCCCTCCCCCCCCGTTGGCTGCTTGGTGGCGCGGCGGGGCCCCTTATCAGACAGTGAACAGGGGGCAGGAACCAGGACTGGAGAGACAAAAGTACAAACAACAAATGACAACACAAAACACATGACAGCAGACTGCACACACCTTCGCAGCCTTGCGCCCCCGGAGGGGGCCGGCGGATGTGTGCGTGTGTGTATATATACACGTATATAAACATAGAAACATCGTGTGGACAGTTTTCGGGGTAGGCTCGCGAGAATGAGATGTCCGACATCATATGTGCACCATGTTTCGGGCGAAAGCCCGCATGCCTTAGTGCGTTTGTGTGTGTGTGTGTGTGTGTAGCTGTACACACGCACGTGTGTGTGTGTGTGTGTGTGTTCGGCCCTCCATTCGGCGGCGGGCGAGGGGGGAAGTGAGAAGGGGGGGTGGGCCTTTTTTCAGAAGACTTGGAATTCCCCCGGGCTTCCGAGAAGCTTCCGAGCCCCCCCCCGGAAGCAGCAAAGACTCCTCGGACGGTCCGCCGCCTTCCGAGGAGGCCTTCCCCTCCTCGCTTCCCCTTCTCGCCCGCCGCCAATCCGTGGGGTGAGGCGAGCAGCCCGTGCGGGGCGCGGCCGCTGCCTCGCTCCGCCCCCGTCCTGCTCGTGCCCCGGACCTGCCTCTCCGGATGACCTCGCGGGGGGGACGCATCGACCCCCCGGCGCCGATGCATCGCTGGCAGGGGCCCAGCAGCCCAGACTGCCCAGGACCGGTGCGGTCTCGCCATCGGGGGCCCATCGGCCGATCCATCGCCGATCCTTACCAGCCTGGAACACATCCCTATCCCTCCGCTGGGCATCTCCTCGTCACGATGCCAATCTTAGGGATTCCCTCATTTTTCGAGGGCGCATCCCTAAGATTGTCATCGCCTTTTGGCGTGTCAATCTTGGGGATAGGGATAAGTTCGAGGCTGGTAAGATCCATCCAAGGTGTATCGCCGATTCAAGGTCGAAGTTCCCCCCCCCCCTCGGTGAGCCGGGTTCCCCCTCACGTTGCCCCTGATTTTCGGGCCATAGCCCGGCTCTCCAGCGGCCGTTGGGGTTGATCCGGGCACCCCCAGAATCTCGGCGAGGCGCAGCCGCTGGAGGGCATTCCGAGGCTGGAGGGCCGCCGAGAACTGACGAAATCGCTCGACAAACTCAAACCTCGAGCCTCGAACCTCGAGCCAGGGTCCCCGTATCGTTCCCTCTCGAAGGGGAGTGCGTAGCCCCCCTGGAGGCGCCCCTAACGCTACACCTCAGGCTGCCGTCCAAGTCCTAGCCTTAAGTCGGGCAGGTCCCTCTACAGGATGAATATTCAAAACTAGTTTGAAAAACAGTCGGGGACGATTTTTCTAGTATTTGTGACCACTTTTTAAGATCTTTTGACTCTTTTCCATTTTTCTTCTAGAATTCGCCTGTAGGGGGACATGCCCGACTTACAGTGGAGACCCATGCCAAGGAACACCCTGTCTGCCTCCAGGGTGCCCTGGGCTCCTTGGGTTTTGCGATTGAGAGCGCGACCTTCCCACGCCAAAAATCAACGGGCGTCCTGGAGCCTCAGGGTTGGGTATCTTGTGGAAGGTTTCTTGTGGACTGGCCTCCACTGTAGTCCCAGCCCTATACCCTGGTCGTCGACGCTGCCGCCGCCCCCGTCGCCACCGTCGGCCGCCACCGCCGGCCCTGGCGGGGGCGCGCCCCTGGCCAGAACACCGCGGCGTCGGGGTTCTCCTCCGGCGTGGCCTCGTTCGTCGTCGAGGCGGCGGGAGGGGGGCGCCGGGGGGGGGCTGCGCCGAGGCGAGGGGGGGAGGAGGGGAGGAGGGAGGAGGAGGAGGGAGGAGGAGAGGAGGGTGGAGGAGGGGAGGGGAGGAGGAGGAGAGGAGGAGGAGGAGGAGAGAGAGGAGGAGGAAGGGGGGAGGGGAGGAGAGGGAGGGAGGGAGGGAGGGAGGGGGGAGGGAGGAGGGAGGGAGGGAGGGATGGGCGACGAGGAGGGGATACCGGTATCCAACTTCATATCCATCCTCTCTCCTTCTCTTCCTCCTCCTCCTCCTGGTTGCCTGGGTTTTGGATTCCTGGTTGCCTGGATTGCGCGGTTTTCGAATTCCTGGTTGCCTGGATTGCGCGGTTTTCGAATTCCTGGTTGCCTGGGTTTCGGATTCCCCGGCCCCTGGGAATTTTGAAAATTTCGAAATTTTCGAAATTTTCGAAATTTTCAAAGTGTTTGGAATTTTCGAAATTTTCGGAAAAAACGAAATTTTCAAACTTCCAAGGGGTTCGGGTTTTCTGGGATCCTGGTCGCGTGGCTTCTCGGAGGAGGGGGGGGAGGAGGAGGAGGAGGAGGAGGAGGAGGAGGAGGAGGAGGAGGAGGACGCCCTCGCAGCGGGCCGTCTTGGGATGATTTTTGGACTTGGCGTAGAGTGTGGAGTTTTCGGGCAGTGGAATCGCGGACGCCTCTCGAGGAGATCTCAGGGATGTCGGGATTCCTTGCGCGGTTTTCGAATTCCTGGTTGCCTGGGTTTCGGATTCCCCGGCCCCTGGGAATTTTGAAAATTTCGAAATTTTCGAAATTTTCGAAATTTTCAAAGTGTTTGGAATTTTCGAAATTTTCGAAAAAAACAAAATTTTCAAACTTCCAGGGGTTCGGGTTTTCTGGGATCCTGGTCGCGTGGCTTCTCGGATTCCCCGACCAATTGGAATTTTGAAAATTACAAAATTTTTGAAATTTTCGAAATTTTCAAAGTGTTTGGAATTTTCGAAATTTTCGAAAAAATCTAAATTTTCAAAGTTCCAGGGGGTTCTGGTTTTCGGGGATCCTGGTCGCGTGGCTTCTCGGAGGAGAGGGGGAGGAGGGGGAGGAGGAGGAGGAGGAGGAGGAGGAGGACGCTCTCGCAGCGGGCCGTCTTGGGATGATTTTTGGAGTCTCTTGGGCTGTTTTGGGCAGTTCTTGGCTTCAAAAGGTGAGAATCCGAAAACCCTTCCAAAACCATAGAAACATAACTCACCTCTCTCGCCCGAGCTGCAGGACCCGATTTTGCATCTTTGGGCCATTGGTGTAGAGTGTGGAGGTTTCGGCCGAGGCTCCTATGGCCCAGGGTTTTTCACCCCCCCGCGGCGGCTAAAACGCGCAAGCGCGCACTTTTCGGTAAAAAGTGTTTCGGTGCGTGGCCGAAGTTTTTGATGGTTCTGGAGGTCTCTTGAGGGCTTCCTTGGGGAGCTCCGAGGGCACTTGGGGCCGTCCTGGGGCGGTATTGAGAGCTCTTGGGTGCATATTGATAGCCATCTTGAACCATATTGGGCTATCTTGCACGATCTTGGAGGTCATCTTGGACTCTCTGAGGCCCTCTGGGAGCCATCTTGGGCCATCTTGGGCGCCCTGACCCCTCGCGGCACCCTCCCTCCAGGCCCAGAGGGGGGGGGGGGGGTAGGGGGGGAACCCCCTCCCCGAAGGGGAAGAAAGGGGGTTTAGCAGAACAGGCTCTTTAGACCACTCACGCCCTAAAGGGCTGGTGGGGTTCACTTGTACTTTTCAGTATAGCAGATCACAACGCGGCGCATCGTATGTCTCATGGCACGGCAGTGCATATCATAGCGTACTGCATCGCCGAGCAGACATCGTCACATGCGATATTATGTCATGACATAACACAATATTGACATAGCATTGATTATGCATTGTCTTTGTGTTGACTTGAACTTGTATTCAGTCGTGGCTCGGACCCAGCCTCGCTGGCCTGGCCACAGCCAGCACCGCCCCGCCAGCGCGGCCAAGCCGTGCATGGCTTTTCGCTTCGAGGGGCCCGTTGTGCCCTTCCCGCTGTGCCAGCTGCTGGCGGCACGCCAGGCCATGATTGACGAACCAGACATGGCAGAGACGATCCTGAAGTGTGCCGAGAAGGTCTGGATCGACGTGCCTGCGTTGCAGGTCTATAAGCCACGCGACTTCGTCTGGGTCGCGAAGCCAGCGCGCGTCAACGCCTGGGAGACGCTGACTAACTTCCACTTCTCCTTAGGACGCAATCCGAATATTCCAGCCGCTACATTACAGCACTCGGTGTTCAATATTGTTTGGTTTGATGGGCATGGGGCCCCGCGTGATGCTGACGGAGGCCAGGATGAAGCACGCCTCGGCGTGGGCGTCGATCCGTCAGTTCAGGGATCTGGGCGATGACGGTATGGAGCACGAGGTGGCGGGCCAGGTCGACGACATGGATGACCAGGTCGAGAGGGTGGCCGCGCTCGCTCTGGAGTGAGGTCGGCGGCGGCAGAGGGCGGAGGCCACGGCCTTGGGCCGACTCGGAGGGGCCGCAGTCGGTGCGTACATTAATACATGTAAGTGAAGCCCATCAGCACGATCTGCCGCGCCCGCCGCCCCCGCCCCCTCCCCGCAGATTGCCCGAGCTCAAGTGGGGGGAGTCAGGAATCCTGGCGATCTGGGAATCCAGGAGCCGGTGGTTGGCTGGTCGTTGGCGCGCGTACTCTGGGCGAGGTGCGAGAGTCGATCAGCGGGGATTCATGTCGCAATCCTCGTCGGAACGCGCGCCAGGTGTGATCTGGGAAGCAGTGATATCAGCTTCTCTTCGCTCGTCGAGTCGACGGGGCGCTGCGTCATCGCCGCGTGGGCTCCAGTTCAGGGGGCGCCTTGCCTTGCACTAGCGCGGCCCGCGGCACCGCTGACCCACTGCCATGGGAGCGCGGCCAGTGGCGAGGCGGCCCGCGGCCCGCCCTGTCCTGCCGACCATCGGCAAGCAGCCGGCCGCCAGGGCGGCGGTCGCCAGAGGGCCCGCCGTGGCGCGGACGGCCGCGAAGCGACCGGCCGCGGCGAGGGGCCGCCAATGCCAGGCCCGACACCAGGACTCGCTATTTTTGAACACACCTCATGATAAACAAAAAACGTTGGCACCAACGCCCAGAGCAGGCCTGGGTAGATTTCTAGGCGGGGGATTTAGGAATCGGGCTTGACTTGGGGGTCAAGGACGAACGCGCGCCATGTTCCGAAATATTCTGCCGATTTCTGAGGCCTCTATCAGTTTGTGACTTTAGGATCGGGAGTTCGTTTCCTTACAGCCCAGGAGTTGGCGAAGTATATCGTGGAGGAGATTCGTGACTATGTCGACCAGACCAAGGAGGGCGACGCCGAGAACGCCAGCGCCGTGCTCGAGTGCTCTGTCTGCGGGAGAATTCTTTCGAGGCCGCAGAGGGCACGCGAGCGCGCGAAGAGCCACCTGGAGGGCAAGTTCGCGTGCATCCACAAGACGCTCCTGACCGATGTGCAGATCTCGCACCCAGTAATCGCGGCGGTGCAGCGCTCCCTGTACGACCACGACATCCTCGCGGGTTGCCCGCGCGGCGGCTACGCGTCCCGCGCGAGGTCGCTCATCCAGGAGTGGATCGGCTTCACCGCGACACCCGGTGGGGGAGATTCTCTCTACACCGCGACGGGCCACAAACGCGACTGCGACCTGAGACTGGTCCTGACCGACACCGGTCCGCAATATTGGCTACATTCCGACGAGAAGCTCCGCTGCGCTCGCAAGTTCGGCGGCCACTACTACACGATGGCGTTCGGCAACATGTGCGCGCGGTTCTTGCTTGACGCAGGAGGCGTGCACGGCCGCGCTTTCCGCTCCCTCAAAGCGGCATGGGCCCGCGGTGGCTGCGAGGTGGGATCGCTCGCCAACCGGCACACCGGCACCATGATAGCACTGATGTTGGACATTGCCGAGTCGAAAGCCTTCGGGGATTTCGTGGGTGCACAGCTTCTGAAATGCGCTGACATCGGCGGCCTCCGGTCCATCTCTATCGACGCGACGTACATGGTCGCACTCAAGGTGTCCGGACAGACCCGTATGCAGAAACACAACGTGTTCAGCGTGATCGGATTCCATGGCGAAGTGTTGGGGCTCGCTCCCTCGTACGCAGAGCGCCCAGAGGCATTCGCCGGCGCAGTGGGGCGCTCGGTGCCCCCCGAGCTCCGCTCGCGCGTCGAGCACGTGGCGAGCGATGTCGTCGGGCGCAAGCTGTGCGAGGAGATGCAGAAGATTCTCCCGAATTTGCAGTGCGTATCCCTTGACCCGTTACACCTGGCGTTCTCCGTGGACACCCACACCTCTAAGCGCCGCGTGCGGCCGACCGCGGTCGGCCTCGTCATGCGGGCTGTATTGGGGAAGTTCTCCGTGGCCGACTACGCGCGGAGGCGCGAGCCGTTCCACTGGGGCACTGGCGCGGCCAGGGCGTCCGCTCAGGAGCAATATTTCATCAAGCGCATACGAGGGGGCGACATGGGGCACCGCCGAGCGAAGACCATCCTCAGCGACATGGACCCTAACGCGCCGATGCAGTCCAGGGGGCAGTTTGCCATGTTGATGGCCGCCATCGCGCGCGTTTGCCCGGAGCGGATGGACGTGCAGTACGACAAGGGCACGTTCCGGGCGCAGTTCATTGCGGCGTGTGCCCCCGATCGAGCGGAATTTTACATGAACAACATCCGCTACAGGGCGCGGCTCACGCCGGAGGAGAACAGCTCTCTCGGCGTTGGAACGACTCGCAACGAGCAGATACACTCGTGCATCAACGCTAATTTCCGCCAGGTGAGTCGCATTGATGCCAGGACCATGAAGTCCGAGCTCGCGCTGTGGGCGGGGTGCGAGACCACGCTGGCGTCAAGGGCCTTGGGCGGCAGGACGACCTCGAGGGTGCGGCGCGCCGATATGAAGGCGACCGTGGTCAACTCAGTCTCGCTGTTCGACGCGGAGAACTGGC